GTCCAGTCCCTCAGCCATTTAGTCCCAAAGAAACACACAGAGGCTTATATTAATGATAAAACTGTTTGGCCTATTAGCTCAGGTTTATTATTTACTAGCTCTTACAACCTAAATGAACCCATAGTTCTTATCTATGTTTAGCCACATGGCTTGGTACCTTTTCCCAGTGAGGCATTCTCATCTTGCTTCTTCTGTATCTGGTTGGTGACTACATCTCTGCCTATCCTCTTTCCAGAATTCTCTTAGTCTGGTTGCCCCGCCTATACTTCCTGTCTGGCTACTAGTCAATTAGTGTTTTATTAAACTAATATGAGTGACAAATTTTTGTTTTTGTTTTTGTTTTTCAACACGGTTTTTCTGTAGCTTTGGAGCCTGTCCTGGAACTGGTTCTTGTAGACGAGGCTGGCCTCAAACCCACAGACATCCACCTGCCTCTGCCTCCCAAGTGCTGGGATTAAAGGCGTGCGCCACCACGACCCAGCCTGAGTGACAAATCTTTACAGGGTACAGAAGCATATCCCACAGTAGTCCTCAGAGCTGCTCATTCTTCTAAGTGGGGCTGCATGTGTTAAGTACTGTTTGTCCCGTGTTCTGATTAGCTTCTGTGGACAGCATTCTATTTTGTAGATGTAGAAACTGAGGGATGGAGTGGTTATGTATCACGCCCAAGATCACACAGCTAGGATAGTGGTGGGACTGCCTCTAGAGCTGCGCAAATTGGTCCCCCTTTCTGCTAAGTTCTGTTGTTATAGATTTCCCTGACTTTCCATTTTCACTTGTATAAAATGAGGCTCTAACACCTATCTAGAGATTTGTTCTGTTTTGTTTGAGACAGGGCTTTGTGCTCAGGTAACCCAGACTGGCCTCACACTCACTCTATAGCCAAGGTGACCTTGGACTCCTTATCCTCCTGCCTGAGATGGCAGATGTGTGCTACGTGGGGCTGAAGATGGCACAATGGGTAAAAGCACTGTCTACAATTGTGTACCTAAGTTCAAATCCCCACCATCTGCAGGAAGCCCAGAGGATGTCTATAATCTCAGAGCTCTTACAAAGGGATAAGAGGATAGGTCAGGTTTGTGCTACCACACCCTGTGTGAGAGATTTTTTTTTAAGACTCTACATTTTATTACTGGAGAAACCACTCCCAACTTAAACATGATCAGGTTGAAAATATTGAACTCCATCTTTTAACACTCATCCAGGACCACAGCTCAGCATAACTGTCTTGCCATTGTTGACTCCTCACAGACCCAGCTTCCTTCTCCTCCAGTGTCTTCTCTAAGAGTTGTACCTGATTTTGTTGCCAGTTTTCATCCGAATCCACTGAGGAATAGGAAGATTTTGCTTTTGTTTCTTGGCCAGGAATCGCTTCATTCTGAAAGTCTTGTGAGAAGACATGGCAAGAAGCTGAGGCAGGCAAACAGCGCACTATGGCGGAGGAAAGGCAAGGAGCGTGAGAGAACTTTTTGAGTAAGAAGTTAGGTCAAGCATGTCAAAGTAAATGTGAAATAAAACAACTAGCCATGACTTATGTTCTGAGAGCTCCCACTGGTGGTGTGGCATGGGTGTGTGTGTGAGTGTGTGTGTGTGTGTGTGTCTGTGTGTGTGTGTATCCAGAAGGGCACTGTGTATAGACCCCGACCTTGCAAGGACAGAGCCCCTTGAAGAAGGCTCTTGTTAAAGGGCTGGCACAGTAGCTAATGGGAGAGCACTAGCTTCACATGTGTGAAGCTTTGGATTAATTTCAAGTACCTCCAGAACGAGAATGTTTTTATTCAGGAGAGATGGTTCTTTTGGGTCAGAGTTTGGATTCCATCACCATGTTAAAAAAACAAAACAAACAAACAAAAACCTGAGCACCAGACATGGTGGTCCATGCCTTTAATCCCAGCACTTGAGTGCAGACAAAGGCGGAGTTCGTGTGAGTGAGTTCAAGGCCAGCCTGGTCTAAGTAGAGAGTTATGGCCAGCCAGGGCTGCACAGTGAGACCTGTCTTTAAAAAAAAAAAAATCTGCGTGTAGCCATGCACTCATCTGTAATTCCAGTTCGCAGCGCCCCTGCAGGTGCTGTGGGGAACTGATGCAGAAAGACACTGGGACTTCCGGGCCACCAGTTTATCCAAGTTCAGACTTAGACCCTGACTCAAAGGCGTAAGTAATAAGAGAAGGCACTTAATGTTCTTCTCTGGCTTCCAGGAGTACAGCTCACACATACCTATGCATGCTACATACACACATATGCACACATACTACATGCAAACACATGGACACGCACATACATACTCAGATACATATATGTACATGCACATATAAACATGAACACATACAATGCAGCTTAAATCATATGACCATGTACTGTTGAACTTTAGTTTTGAATTTTTTTATTTTTAATATTTTGTGTTCTTTGAGACAGGGTTTCTGTGTGTAGCCCTGGCTGTCCTGGAACTCTCTCTGTAGACCAGGCAAGCCTCAAACTCCCAGAGATCTGCCTGCCTCTGCCACCACCACCCTGCTGAACTTTAGTTCTTATTGAGAACATTTTTGTCCTCTGCAGACTTCTACCTGGGGCTGACCAGTCCTCGGCTGTGCTTGTCTGACTCCAGGCAGTCACAGCTTAGAGCTTCACCTCCCCTTGCAGGCTTCGCTATCTTTTTCCACCTGCAGTGGGTGGAGTAACCCTAAGAGCCCCATTCTAACCCGCTGATGCAGTACTACCGCTACTGGGCAGCAGGTGGCGCAGAGGGACCTTGAAACTTAAACTTCGGCCTTGGGCAGTCTTGACCGAATCCGTAGGGAGGCCTTTAGCCATCTTCACCCCACCTTCCCCTCCCCTTTCCCTCTACTCCCTCCCTTTCTCCTCTTCCTTTTGTGATTTTTTGTTGTTGTTGTTGTTGTCATTTGTTTGAGATAGGGTTTTACTGTAGCCCTGGCCGGACTAGAACTAGTATGTAGACCAATACCAGTTGAACTTGTATTGTAGTTGAACAATCTTGAACTCCCAGAGATTCACTTGCCTCTGCCTCACAATGCTGGGATTAAATACGTGTACCACAATGTCATCACTTTTACATTTGAACATGAAAACATATCAAAAACGTCTTAGTGGATCATGTCTTAAGAATGTTTTCAGAGGTTGGAGAGATGGCTTAAAAGCACTTAATGCTCTTGCAGAGGACCAGATCCAATTCCAAGCAGCCACATCAGACAGCTCACAACGGCCTGCAGCTCCAGCTGTAGCAAACTGAAGGAGCCAACAGCCTTTTCTGGCCTCCTCAGGCACCCACCCCACACTTCCACAAATAAGCAACAAAATAAATCCTTAAGTGTTTTTGTTAGTTTTTGGAGACAGGGTTTCTCTGTGAAACAAACAGCCCGGCTGTTCTGGAACTCTCTTTGTAGACCAGGCTGGTCTTGAATGCACAGAGATCTGCTAGACTCTGCCTCCTGAGTGCTGGGATTAAAGGTCACCACTGCTGGGTCAAAAAGAATGTTTTGAGTCAAGTGGAGTGGTAGACATCTGTAGTCCCAGCTACTGGGGAGGCAGAGGCAGGAGGATGACTTCAGCCCAGAAGTTTGAAGCCAGGATAACATTTCCAAAAAGAGAAAAACTGAGTATCTTCTAAATTTTTCTGCAATTCAAGACCTGGAGGTAGAGGAAGGAGGACCAGGTGTTTCGTGCTGGGCCAATAACACGGGTCAGTGAGCAAAGGCTTTTGCTGCCAAGCCTGACAAGCAGAGTTGGATCACTAAGCCCCACATGGTGGAAGGAGAGAACAAGTGGTTCCCTGATCCCCGACATGTTCCATGTCATGCACAGAAGACTAAAAAAATAGTTCCATGTCATGCTTCAGTAAACATAAAGTTTTAAACCAGACCGGGCTACATGTGACTGTCTCAGAAAGCAAGCAGGAAGGGAGGGAGAAAAAGAGAAAGGAAGGGAAGAGATGACAAGTGTGGTGTGGTAGCACACACCTGTAACACTGGCACTCAGTAAGCTAAGGCAGGAGGATTGCCTAAGCTTGAGACCAGCCTGGGCTACATAGTGAGTTTGAGGCCAGTTTGAGATACATAGGAAAGCTGTCTCAAAATAAGAGAAGATATTCTGTGCCAGTGGGCTGAGAGGAATGAGCCAGCTACTGGAGATAACATCTTCTCACTTACCCTGCAGAGTTTCTGGAACATTTGAAGAGATAGCCCAATTCTACTAACACTGCATGATAAGACCAGGGAAAAAAACGAGTTCTCTCTCTTCTAGATAGAGACGATGGTTCCTGCGTGTGCGTGTGTGTGTGTGTGTGTGTGTGCACGCGCGCACGTAACAAGGTTTCAGGGAGCCCAGGTCAGCCTTAAACTCAGTTTGCAGCAGAGGATGACTGGAAACTTTTAACAATTTTACATTCATTGGTATTTTGCTTCCATGTATGTCTGTGTGAGGATGTCAGGAGCCCTGGTACTGGAATTACAGACAGTTGTGAACAGTCACATTGGTGCTGGGAATTGAACCTGGGTCCTCTGGGAGAACAGACAGTACTCTCAAACACTGAGATATCTCTTCAGCCTGACCTTAAACTCTTGACCCTTCTACCTTCATTTCCACATGCTGGAGGGCAGTCATTTGTCACAGTGCCCATACACACACACACACACACACACACACACAGTCACCTGCTGTGGTGTTGTAGACCAAATGTCATGTCCCCCAAAGTTCATGTTAAAATCTACCCCCATGTAATGGTACTGTGAGGAAGAGTGGGGAGGTGATTGGCCACAAGGGCATCACCCGCATGAGATAATCATCCTTATTTAGAGGTCCCTAAGAGCTGTCCTGTTCTTCCTACCATGGCAGAATATAGCAAGAACATGGATGCCTAGGAACCAGAAAGTGGGCCCTTATCACTGTTGTGTGACAAACCTTTCCTGGTAAGATGCATCACACAGGTCTACTCACCCCAGATATGGAGCCCACAATGGACCGAAGTACAGATACCACCAAAGTCCAAGTTGGCAAACCCTAAGCTTTATTGACGTTACTTCCAGGAGCAGAAATGACTCAAAGACAGCTGCATCACCAAGGCCCACCACAGCACGGGTGACAGCTCACGAAGCTGAGAACCTGGAGCACACCACACAGCCTGCAGGCAGCTCGACAGTTGAAGAGAGAGGGTCCCTCCAGGGTGTCTCAGTTGGTCCAAACCTCTTCCAGGCAGGATGGCTGGTTTCTGCTGCTTCCAGGCAGCTGGCCTGCTCTCAGAGTCTTCCTTCATGCTGGGTCTGTCTAAGAGTCTTCTTTACCATGCAGCTCTCCTGTGGACTGAGGGGGACGTCAGCTCTAATAGTTTACTCTGACAGGAAGGGGCCTAATGAATCTGGTTAGTGTCAGGGGCTCCTGAAGCTGTTTTGAGTTGCTGGCCTTCCTGCAGGATGGATTGTCTTCATCTTGGAGGAAGTGGTCACCCAACAACCAGCTTTCTAGACAGCAGTGTCTTGATCTTGATCATCTCAGCCGTCAAAGCCGTGAGAAATAAAGGCCTGCCTGCTCTTTATAAACCACCCACTCTGTGGTATGAAGCAACAGTGCAGAGACTGAGAGAAGTGACCGATGTCACTTGATAACATCATCAATCTGTCATTTTACATGGCCTGTGATAGGTAACAGCTTGGACCGTGTCTTGTCACACAGGACAGGAATGGCTGTGAACTTAAGAGTACGTCTCAAGACCTCCTCACAGCACCAGCTCGGACCAGTAAGGACGGTTAGCCCGTAGTCACTGGATTGCTTACTTTTCTATCAGGTTCATGAGTCCATTGTTTCCATCTTACAAGGGAGGAAACGGTTAGGGGACTCATTCAAGGTCACTGAGGCAGAAGGACCTTCCAGTAGCCTGGCCCTACCTCAGTGCTCTGTTCTGGGCTCAGCCCCTGAACCATGATGCCTTGGGGCTGGACACCACATCTCCTCACGTTTGCATTTTCCACAGTTCCTGATATACAAGGTAGTCCTTAAATATTGAGCGGAACTGACACCAAGTGTGTTGCCCCTCAGTTATCCACTCAGTAGAACATTCCTAGGGTTTGTCCAGGGAATGGTATAGGAAATGCTTGCGATTTTTCACTTTTAATGACTGGAAGACTCTGCTAGGGACCAACCCCTAGAAGGCCGGGCACACCTTTAATGTCAGCACCCTGGAGGCAGAGGCAGGCGGATTTCTGGTTCGAGGCCAGTATAGTCTGGCCTATAGTGAGTTCCAGGACAGCCAGAGCTATGCAGCTCTAGACCCTGTCTCAGAAACAAAACCAACTGGGCACACACACCTTTAATCCCAACACTCGGAGGTGGATCTGAGTTCTAGGGCAGCCAGGGCTGTTACACAGAGAAACACTGTCTTGAAACACCCCCACTCCACCCCTCAAAAAAGAAAAACAACAACAAAACAAAACAAAACAAAAACCCACTAAAAACCAAGTGACTGCTATGTACTCTCAAGACGGTTTCTCCATAACTACCATCTACTTTCTTGTACCCGCACTGGCTCCGTCCTTTGGCCCTACGCGTTTGTGACACAGGTAGCTGAATTGGTCTCAGCTATCCTTAGTGCTGGTTCCAGAGGTGTGCACCTGCAGTCAGAACACTTGGGAGGTTGAAGTGGGAGGCTAGACAAAAGTCCAACCTGAGCTAAAGAGCGAGTTCAAGGCCTGCCAGAGTTACAGAGCAAACACGTAGGCAAACACTCCCTCCCTTAGCAGAGCGAGACTGACTAAGGGAAAAGTGAGAACAAAGCCTCTGGGGGAGGAATACCCTGTTTTCTACTTAAAAATAAAAATGGTCTGTCATTTGCCCTGCATCTCCTCAGAGTCTCTGTGGAGACTAACTGAAACGGGCGTGCAGAGAGCCTTGCCGAGAGCGACTCTTTGCAGACTTTCCCTAAAGGGTCGGTAGCGCGCTCCGCCACCGCCCGAGTCACGACGTGCGTTCACCTCCCGCGTTCCCGAACAACGCGGGCGGACAGAAGGATGGGCCCCATGGGAACGCCGGTGCAAGGGAGGGCTGAGCACGGAGAGGGGCGTGAGGCCCCGATCGGAAGAGGACACGTAGTCCGGAGCGAGCCAGCGAGCACAAGACGACAGGAGCCCGACTCACTCACCCGAGGGCGGGGCACCAGGCCCCCTTCACACCCGAGCCGCCTCGGCAGCGGAAGTTCCGGTGTCGGCGAGCGGAGGTGAGAGGTCAGCAGGAAGTCGATACGTGGCCGCCGCCTGTGCCCGCCGAGGAGGCGCTCGGAGCGGAGATGGCGGCGCAGCTGAACGTAGAGCCGCAGCTCGAAGTGTCGCTCGACGGCCTCACGCTGAGCCCGGACTCGGAGGAGCGGCCCGGCGCAGAGGGTGCTCCGCTGCTGCAGTCGCCGCCCTC